CAATCATAATCACCCCAAAGCTAGGCTTTTCTAGAATATCATCTGTTGTCCTTTAATTGTATGTTTATAAAACAGTATTTGGCTGGGGACAAATGGCTCTTAACTGAAGCAAGTTTTCCACAATTAAAGGGGTTGAAAACAGAATCACTGGTGGATGTAAATCAGTACGATAAGTTATTTCCCCTTATTTTCCCTAAATTTGTAGGAGATTTTGCAGCAAATTATCTAAATAATTATCTTTTTGAAGGTGTATCCCTTTTAGAAAAGGATCTGCTCTAAGGGTGCTTTCAGTGCTCAGAAACTGCAGCACAACTGCCAGCCTACACCAACAGGGAGCTGGGAAGCTAAGTGGGCAGGAGTAATCCTTCACTGGGTTACTGGCTTTGAGATGTTCAAACGAAATAGTTAGAAAAGAAGTGGCATACCCACCTGGAAATTTTTTCATTCAGATGATGGCTGGGTCTTTATCTCAGTTTATTAGTTGGGTTTATTGTTTGCTTTCAAATGTCTTAGGGATTGTTAATCCTGGGGTTCATTGATAATATTTAGGGTGATCTTAGACAAAAAAATTACATTACATTCTTCTCATCAGCTCATAGGTCATTCTCTAAGATCGACCATATCCTAGGACACAAAGCACATCTCAAACAATTTAAAAAAATAGAAATTATACCATGTATCTTTTCAGACCACAATGGAATAAATGTAGAAATCAATCCTAACAGGAGTTCTCATTTCTACACAAAGTTCTCATTTCTACATTAAACAACCTTCTGAATTATCACTTCATAAATGAGGAAATCAAGATGGAAATCAAAAGATTCTTTGAACTAAATGACAAAGGTGACACAAGTTACCAAAACCTATGGGACATAGCTAAAGCAGTCCTGAGAGGAAAGTTTATTTCCATAAATCCCTATATCCAAGAGTCAAAAAGATCACAAATAGACAACCTAATTAATCATCTCAAAGAGCTGGAAAAAGAAGAACAGACCAACCCCAAACCCAGCATAAGAAGTGAAATCATTAAAATCAAATCAGAACTAAACAAAATAGACAACAGGGAAACTATACAGATGATTAATAACACAAAAAGTTGGTTCTTTGAAAAAATAAACAAAATTGACACACCATGGGCTAGACTAACGAAAACCAGAAAAGAAAAATCTCTAATAAGCTCCATCAGGAACAACAAAGGAGAAATCACAACTGATGCCACGGAGATACAAGATATAATTTATGAATACTACAAAAACCTGTATGCACACAAACTGGAAAATGTGGAGTAAATGGACAATTTCTTAGAAACACACAGCCTCCCTAGGCTCAACCAGGAAGAAATAGAAGTCCTGAACAGACCAATATCAAGTACTGAAATTGAAACAGCAATAAAAATCCTTCCTAAAAAGAAAAGTCCTGGACCAGATGGTTTCACACCCAAATTTTACCACACCTACAAAGAAGAACTGGTGCCTATCCTGCAGAAATTATTCCACAACATCGAGAAGGATGGAATCCTCCCCAACATATTTTATGAAGTGAACATAACCTTGATATCAAAACTAGGAAAGGATGCAACAAAAAAAGAAAACTACAGACCAATACCCCTTATAAATATAGATGCAAAAATTCTCAACAAAATCCTAGCCAATCGAATCCAGGTGCTTGTCAAGAAAATAATTCATCACAACCAAGTAGTCTTCATCCCAGGGGTGCAGGGATGGTTCAACATACACAAATCTATAAATGTAATTCACCATATAAACAGAAACAAAAACAAAGACCATATGATCCTCTCAATAGACACAGAAAAAGCATTTGACAAAATTCAACATCCTATTATGATAAGAACGCTCAACAAAATAGGCATAGACAGGGCTTACCTAAAAATGATACAAGCCATATATGACAAAACCACAGCCAATATCATACTGAATGGGGAAAAATTGAAAGCATTCCCACTTAGAACTGGAACAAAACAAGGTTGCCCACTATATCCACTTCTGTTCAATATAGTGCTGGAAGTCCTCGCTACAGCAATCAGACAAGAGAGCGGAATTAAGGGTGCCCAAATGGAAGCAGAAGAGATCAAACTCTCACTCTTTGCTGATGACATGATATTATACCTAGAAAACCCCAAGGATTCAAGCAATTGACTCCTTGAATTGATAAATGAATTTGGTAAAGTCTCAGGATACAAAATCAAGACACAGAAATCAGAGACATTCATATACGCCAACAACAGGAAAAGTGAGAAGCAAATCAAAGACTCAATTCCCTTCAAAATAGCAACAAAGAAAATAAAATACCTTGGAATATATTTAACTAAGGAGGTAAAAGACCTCTACAGGGAGAACTATGAAACACTGAAGAAGGAAATAGCAGAGTACATAAACAGATGGAAGAATATACCATGCTCATGGGTCAGCAGAATCAACATTGTTAAAATGTTTATACTACCCAAAGTGACCTACAGAGTCAACGCAATCCCTATCAAAATACCATCATCATTTTTCACAGATATAGAAAAAATAATTTTACCTTTCGTATGAAACCAGAGAAGCCCCCATATAGCAAAATCAATCCTAGGCAATGAAAACAAAATAAGAGGTATCAATTTACCAGACTTCAAACTATACTACAAGGCTATAGTCATTAAAACAGTCTGGGATTGTCACAAGAACAGGGACATTGACTAGTGGAACAGAACAGAGAACCCAGATATAAAAACATCCTCATATAGCCAACTGATCCTCGATAAGGCAGACAAAAACATACACTGGGGAAAAGAATCCTTATTCAATAAATGGTGCTGGGAAAACTGGATAGCCACATGTAGAAGACTAAAATAGGACCCACACCTTTCACCTCTCACAAAAATCAACTCATTTATCTGTTAATCACCAATTGCTGGTGGAGGTGGTCAGATAGTGGGCTATGTATCGCATATCTGAGAAGCAATTCACTTATAGAATGTTCCAGCTCCATACTAGAAGAGATGCACAGAGATGGTATATCACCATTGTTTCTTAAAGCTGAGTATACGCTCCACTCAGGTATCACTACATACCAAAAACATGGTCTCATTAATAGACAGCTCGAATGAGAAATCAAGCTGGGCAAGCATAGTTGTATCAAAGTCTTCCATAAGCTTCCCTGCAAATCAGATAATTGGAACACGAGCTAATACAATTCTCCCAATTCGACCTGAGCATCGAGTGCTTTATCTTCACATAAAAAGACTGTTGAGTGCTAATGGTAGAGGCCCAGTTAGTGGAATGCTGGATCAATGTGATGAACTCCCCACTCAGAGAGAGCATATATTAGGACTTTGGCATGGCGCCTTTGCGGAGTATCTCCATATGCTTGTCGCCAACAGAGGTGAACTGATAAGGTGCAAATCAACCACAATGTAGGAGTGTCCATCATTCTCTACCATCAAAGGCCATCCA